GATTCAGTCCGTACCTCAGAAGAAACTCATTGTCTCCGCTACAAAGCCCAACCGGTTAATGCTTTTTAGGGTAACAGTCGCTGTTTATTGTGAGAACCATACGGAACACAGAGATACACTCTGTCAAGTTGAATGTTGTTTCTCGTATTTAGGAAGTATAATGATAGTCCCGACCGTAATCAGAAACTCCGTTATTTCTCCTGAAAGCCTTGACCAATTTTTAGCTAATACCCACATTAACTCTTACATATACGGGTGTGCTGGTGGGAACTACTGTTAGGCCTTAATTCAAGAACAACCGGCGTGTCCGTTTACTGTATGAAGAGCAGTATGACCCTAATAAGTGACATAACAGTGCCACGACGTCCGCCAATATGGGCTGTAAGTGTTGTAAAAATGCAAATATGCCGAATTATTACAAGTAATGACAGAATATGTGAACGGAGACGTTCATGGGGGTAGGCCTAGGCCCACTGGGGCTGTAGTGCCAAGGAAAAAAAAAGACAGAATATTAAGGAATCTTCAGTAATAATTTGATGTTATATACGTCACAAAGTGAGAGAAATGTTATACATATTTGGTTCTCTCTTCAATACAGGATTTTTCGTAGTTTTTTGTCAGTCCCTGCAGGAAACTTCAGAAATAATACGTAAAATAAGACCATGACAGCTTCTTTGCACATCTTCTCCAATTAATTATGTACCATAATTCGACCATTACTCATAACCAGGGCCCGGATTTTGATGACTTGAAAATATTTTAAAAATGACCTATAAAATGACCGAAAAAATCCAGAAAAATTACCTAAAGTATGACCCAAAAATGTAATATGCAGGGCCCGGATTTTAATGACCTGAAAATATTAAAAAAAGACCTATAAAATGACCGAAAAAATTCAGAAAAATAACCTAAAGGAGAAAAAAAAGAACACTTCGCTTCCACGTTATTCTCATTTAAGAAAACACATGAAGAAAAATTCCCTAAAATGGCCAAAAATGACAAGAAATACCCTTAAAAGCAAAAAAAATTACTAAAAGTTACCCCCAAAATGAAAAAATGACCTTCAACCTAAAAATGTCAAAAAATGACAAAAAAACTTATAAAATTTACATTTCTGTAACCAGCAGCTCATATCCGAGATTTATATATTTAAGAGCATCGCATAGGATACAAGAAAAAAAAAGATGACATGTCATCAAAATCCGGGCCCTGCTCATAACGTTATATAAACTACAAATAAATAAATAAATACTCCTTGGTCTGTAGTCCGCAAGCAAACTATACCGACCGAGCGACCGCTGCTTGTTGGCGAAGTTAGTGCCAATTTTTGAGGATAGAGGGATGTCACGTGGTCAGCGCAACGGATCCCCACGGTCGTTAATCTCGGTGTTCTAGACCGGAGCCTATATTTCCTTGAAATAGCTCATCAATTCTCCTCACAAGGCTGAGTGGATCCACTAGTTCTCATAAAATCTGGTAGCGACCGGAATCGCACCCGGGACCTCTGGAACTGTATCCAGGAACTCTGACCATTAGACCACAGCGGCGAATAAAACTCACAGATCGGATCCGATCCCAAATTACGTCACATGGGATTTGCTGTCGACACGGTTTTTCTCCTAAAATTTCGGTCTCCCCTGCCAATTCTCACTCCAAAAACCGTTTTATATTCATTGATCATATAGTATTCTGGATACTCAAAACAGCGTCAAATAACCCAATTCTCATATAGAAACCGCATACTAAAGATACTAGGTATAAGGGAAAAGAAATGTGGCTTCGTGTACGTACTTTCAAGAGTAAGTTCAGCAGAGAAAAGAAAGCTGTTGATTCTTAACCCTGATTAATAATAATAATACAATGAAGTGTGTAGTTCATATCTTCCTTTACTCATGATTCTATCAGCTTGTCTTCATGTGTGGTCTAACTACTTTCATCGGAGGGCTCCATTTTTAGTCTAGTATAATGAGCAAAACCTTCGTAACTCTGGTCTGTTATATCACTCAACTCTTCTCCTTTAAACTCGCATATCAAGCCTCTGTCTTCTTTACGAGGATTGAATCCTTATAGAATCCTTCCATTCAGGTCTTCGTGTATGGGGCTTCAGACCTGACCTGGTGTTTGACTGGTTACAGAGTATGGAACTTCGTATTCAGCAGTGATAGCATGTCCGCCTATGATTAGAATTCAGTATTTGAGGGCATTTTTCTTTGCCAAATAAAGAACATTGTACATTATCTTCAATTTCAATTTTAGAATTTTTTACTCGCAATTTTGATATGGTACTAATTACGAATTAGTTGATCATACACAATAATATGGGGCACGCGGTAGCGTAGTTGGATGAGGCACTATGCTACATACCAGGAGGTTTCGTGTTCAATTCCCAATGAGGTCACTTAATTTTTCAATTGACCTAATCCTTCCAGCTGCACTATGGCCCTGGGGTCGATTCAGCCTCTAACAGAAATGGGTACCAGGAATCGTCCCGGGGGGGTAAAGGGCGGCGGGTGTGTAAGGCTGACAGCCTCACAGCCATCTATGAACCGATTGTCTAGAAATTATGGGAGCGTCGACGTCTCACAACGCCTCCACGGCCTGTTGCAGGGATAGCTTCACCTATTTTTACACAATAATATAAATAAGAGTGTAAAGGGTTACATTTACTTCGGTAAAGAAATGGGTGTGGGTGTGAGGGTTTAGTGAACGCTGTAATGGGAGCGGTCTTTCTAAACGTCTTGGAACTACTGGGCTACAGAGCGTAGTTCATCAATTGCGCTTAACCCTTTGAAAGCCATGGTTATTTTCTGTACAACCCGCTTTAACATAACGAATACTCTACATTCTGCCTAGACACAGAGTGTATTTATGTGTTCCGTACGGTTCTAACAATAAACAGCGACTGTTTCCCTAAACAGCATTAACCGGATGGTCATTGTAATGGAGAAGTAGTGTGTATATTACGAGGTAAAGTAGAGGGCTCTACTTGCTTAGCTTGTTCTTCGACCCTGAAGATAGGTCCGCTACTTCTCTCCGAAACGCCTGCAAACTTCTACCAGATTACACAGCGTCACATCCCAGAAGATTCAAAGTACTGATTGTCGGATCTGAGGTTATGACCCCGGTGATTATGAAGAGCACGGACATCGGGGATGTGACATCGTGTAGTCTTGTAGTGCTTTTTGTTTCATTAACGTATATTTCACCCTGATGACGGAGGCAGTACGCTTATCTAAAACATCAGTGAATTTTACGGGACTACACGGCGTTATATCGCAGAATTTGGTACCTTTCGAAGTACTGATTTCTGTAAGAGGTTAGTGAAAATTTAGTGAAACATTTAAAGTATTTTCCGTCTTCCTTCCGTTTGGGGAAAGCTATATGTGGTAAAATGACTAAAGAATGCTTCTGGATTCGAACTCATAACACTTTAATTGGATTAGAGTTTTCTGTTGACATTAACACACGGCCTTTTCGTACTCCGTCCTAGACCTTCATATTGTTTGTATGCCAACCGAAAGTAGGTTTCCTTGTAACCTATTATAAGACGTTTGGATAGCCCTCAGTGACCTTCCACAAGAAGTTGTATAGAACTCCATAATGTCACTCGACAGCTCTTGCGAGAAAGAATCTCGTCGGTTCATAACGTAATTTCATTTACCACTGTGGTCTAGTGGTCAGAGTTCCTGGCTACAGATCCAGAGGTCCCGGGTTCGATTTTCTGAGATGTAGTGGGTCTGGAACAGAGTCTACTCAGCCTCGCGAGGATAATTGAGGAGCTATTTCAAGGAAACAGCGGCTCCGGTCTGGAAAACAGAAATTAACGGCCGTGGGGATTCGTTGTGCTGACCACGCGACACCCTCTATCCGCTAAAGCTGGCTAAACTTCGCAGACTAAAGCGGCGGTCGCTCGGTCGGTATAGTTCGCTTGCGGACTAAAACCAAGGAGTTTTTTGTTTTGTTTTTTATGCATGTGTGTATAGACCTAACAGAACACAATTCATGACTATTTGTACGTGTTATCTGACTATGTATGTGGTGTCGTTCTCACGCCTTCGTAGTATTAACGAGCCTACTTACGTGTTAGGGAGCAGAGACTAGTCTGCGGATTTGCTACCGAGGAATCTGGATTCGGTTCCCGGCAGTTCCCCCAGAGCGTCCAGGCTGACTCTGGGGTCCAGCCAGCCTCCTATCCAATGGGCACTGGTGACTGTTTCCGCGGGATTAAAGCGAGGTAAAGGTTAAGAATGAGTGGAACTATACCTCCACTGCCCTATAGGTTGTAATGGCGTAAAATAAGCTATCCCTGTAACAGGCCGTGGAGGCCCATAGGGTCGTGAGACGTCGAGGTTCCCACATTTTCTAGACAGTCGGCTCGAAGTTGGCGGTGAGGTTGTCAGTCTTACTCCCCGGCCGCCCGCTGCCCCCCAGGAGGATTCCTGGTACTCATTTATGTTAGCGGCTGAGTCGACCCCAGGGCCATAGTGCGGCAGGAAGGATTAGGTCAATTGAAAAATCCAATGACCTGATCGGGAATCTAACACGCGACCTTCCGGCTTGTAGCATAGTGCTTTAGTCAACTACGCTACCGCGCGCCGTTATCATGGCGTATTACTTAATTAATAAAGTTAGTACGAGTAGTTTAGTGAGCTATCATTGCAATGGTCGAAACTGCTATCTCTAGGATGTAGTTGCGGTTTAACTAGTTATTTGAAATAAGAACAGAGAACAAGATTAAGATATGAAAAGGATAAAGAAAAGGATGATGGGGATGAAGGAAGAAGCGAGAAATGATTCCCCGTTACGTTTCGTGGGGCTTCTGCTGCAAGCGAAGTTAAGATCGCAGTGATAGCGAATGTTAGGTCTGTGATGCCGCTTGCGGATGTTTCGCGGCTTCTGATAGGAAGTGGCTGTCTCTGAGCGACTGTCGCCACGTGCATAAGCCGACCAACCGCAGCTCACGGCTCGGAGTAACAGAGACACTGTCGCTTGCACGTTCATTCCAGTAGCGCACCGCAGAAGGAACGCGGTGGCGAAAGCAGTCCGCTGATGGAGCCTTTTTGCTTGATGGAGTGAGTGTTTAACCGGTGATACCTGTTGTTTTGTGTTTCTGATAATCTGATGTGATTTTGGTTCATGTTGGACGCTTGACAGAAACTGTGTGTGGCAAGATGTAGATAAAGATGTGTTTGGTTCGTGTCTGAAATGGTTCGGACCGGTTCGGTTGTATGTGGAATGAGATGGGACGTAACTTCTAGTTGATCATTGTTTACTCTTTGGTGTTCATGATTACATAATATTTCTTTCTCATTTAAATGTGCGAATATCGCAATTGTGAAGTGTACTTATGTGCGTCATAACCTAAAAAGGACAAATATTTTCCATGCATAATTTTCGAAAAGCAAGTTTCTTAATGCTGTGTATGAGCGGTGTATAATCAACCAAACATGGCTTACGTAATTTGGCGCGTGTTTATGAAGAAGTACGCCAAAATACGTCTTGGAATACGACGCAATGCTCCGGTAAGTAATTCTGACTATGATAATTTAATGTAAATTTTCCATATGTCAGTGTGTTATTCGTGAACGATATACTAGTATACGCATTAAAAGCCCAGTGATTACTGTATGTGGCACACCTGCTTTGATCAGGGATAGAAGTCGCTGTTCAGAATGGGGCTCACACTCCTCGACCTATCGATAAGCCCCCGAAGAATATGCAGCATGTATTACGGGAATTGTTCCTGCTTGTATCGTTGTTGGGAAATGTAGTCATGACGACTTAAGGCACTGGAAACAGCGTCCTCAAAATGAGATAAAAGGTAAAGTTCCCCCCGTGCGTAATGAAGCTACATTCCGTGAAGACGTATGGGGGAATGGAGGTATAGATCCTCCATTTTTTTTTAGCTCGGCACTAGATGGAGATGAGTTGTCAGCAGCACGCCCATACCGCATTACCCCTGTGGAAAGAACCCACGGTACAAATGAGGCGCTCTGGAATCAAATAGACAGCGGCTATACGCGTGTTTACCCCCCATTTCCAGCCCTAGTTTTACTATCTAAAAAGTTCGCAATTTTCCCACAGATGACAGGTCTGTTTATGTGTTTTGTATGATTCACACAATAAACAACAAATGTGTCCCCATTATACGCTTGCCCCTTTTTGATGGCTACGGGATTTTCTGAGAGGTAGAAGCTGATTTCGTTGAACATTGTTCGAATGAATCAGGGAACCATCAAAGTCGGGAAGTAGTGCTTTCTCTCACTACTCTACCCCCCCCCCGCCCCAAACTCACTCACTCTCTCTCTCTCTCTCTTCATATTTCAAAGAGTTAATTGTAAGAGTTAATGTGTAATTGTAAAGGTAAGATTAAGTTGCCCCTGTGCTTAACTAATTAAGTATTACGCCATGAAGGCGTATGGGGGAGTGGATGTATAGATCCACATTTTCTTGACCTCGGCACTAGTTGGAGGTGAATTGTCAGCTTCACGCCCTGGTCGTTTTACCCCAGAGGAAAGAGTCCCCAGTACCCATTGTATAGGAGGTTGTGTGGACTCTAGAGCCGGTCTGGGGGACATTGAAAAGTGAAACTTCTTGCCCCACCGGGACTCGAACTCAGACTCCTCGAGCCCGTAGCCAGTCTCTATACCGACTGAGCTATCGTGGCCCCCATGTATAAAAGTACAGCAGCGAAACACGGTAATAGTACAGGGAATAAACGCAACCCGAACTACAGCAATCTATGTAAGCTTGACAGGTGACATCAGCATTTTTGTCCTGTTCGGTTCTTCACCGTGAGGCTACACAAGGCGGGATGGTTCATGGACAGTAGCGGACGGTTTCAATGCGAAGTAATATTCAAGAACGAACATAGGATAACTCAGTTGGTATCGCGACTGGCTGGATGACTGAGGGGTCGGAGTTCGAGTCCCGTAGGGTCAAGAATTATCTCTCCTCCATGTCGTTCAGACCGGCTCTGGGGTCCACCCAACCTCCTATACAAATGGTATCGGAGGTAAAGCGGCCGTTCCGTGAAGCTGACCACTCACCTCCAACTAGTGCCGAGGTCAAGAAAATGTGGATTATACATCCACTCCCCATACGCCTTCATGGCGTAGTACTTAATTAGTTAAACACTGGGACAACCTTACCGTTTTATATAGGTTCTGCTCTTGAATACACGCTGCTTGCATCTGCAGAGCGTGTGTGCAACTGGCGACAGCAGGAGCCTAGCAACCAGGGTGACATTGAGTGGAGTTCCACGAAGACACAAGAAGTTAACTGCTGCTGTTGGCTACCGATTACCGCTGGATGACGTTTAAGGACTTCGTGACAAAGATTACTGTCCCGTTTCCCCTGGCTGCATTTGATTTCAGTTTAGGGAGATGATGCTAATATCCAGGTTCTGACAAATTGCTGTGTTTTTTTTATTGCTAGTGGGGTGGGACTAAGTCCCTTGTACTGCGGCCACTTCTGGCCTATTGTACCAGCCCCAGATGATAGGTGAGGGTCATTGTGGAGCAGTTGGTGGACTGAAGATTGGAAGGGGAAACCGAAATACTCGGAGAAAACCTGCCCCAGCGCCACTTTGTCCACCACAAATCCCACTTGACCAGACCCCGGGACATATCTGCTGTAACTTCCAGCCAGTGGTGCTTGGAGTCAACATGTTAACCTGCTCCTTCTCTTCTTCTAACCGATTCTGTTTGTTTTCTGTAATTGGATGTCCCACATTTTGCTGTAGGGCATATGAAGACTAGCCACATAACTGACCCCATGGAGATGAGTCCGTCTTGAGACGCTAACAGTGACTCATTTAATCAAGGAAAAACCAGTCTTTTATGGAACCCGAAGGTTCATTACCATGTTCACTAAAGCCCGCCTTAAATAACTCCATGGACCAGTCCTTGAGAAGCTAATAGTTGCGCGGTCACTCAATAAATACCCAGTATTTTATGGAACTCAAATGTTCATTACCGTTTTCACAGGAGCCCGCATGAAGTAACTACAAGGAGGAGAGAATTATTGAGAAGCTAGCAGTCGCTTTGCTATTCAAGGAATACCCTGAGTTTTATGTAACCCGGAGGTTCATTACCGTGTTCACAAGAGCCCCACTTAACTAACTGCATGGACCAGTCCTTGAGAAGCTAATAGTCGTTCAGTCACTTAACAAATACCAAATATTTTATGGAATCCGGAAGTTCATTACCGTGTTCACAAGAAGCCTCCTTAACCAGCTCTATGGAGCTGGGCCCTTCTTGAGAAGCTAACAGTCACTCAGCTACTCAAGAAATATCTCGCCTCTCATGGAATCCGAAGGTTCATTACCGTGTTCACAAGAGCCCGCAGCTCATTTTTTCCTGAGCCAGATTAATCCAGTCCATACCCTCCCACTGATTCGCTGTATGAGGGGGTTAGTAAGGATAATGTAGGATTCGGTAGGTTGTGTTACATGCTTGCAGTTTACTTAACGACTCACTCTGTATATCGTCAAGTTATTGAATATTGAGCTGAAAGGGTGTGGAAGTGAATAATCATGGTCTAATTGAAGATATTAGCCAGCAAGTACATGGAAGGAGCGAGTAAACCACGAAATCCCTCAGTCAGGATAGTCGATGTGGCGACTGAGCCTCGAACCCGTTACCCCCAGAATAACAAGTGTGAATCGTCAGCACTTCGCGCCATTTGTTTCTAGGAAAGCTGTGGTTATGATCGCAGTTTAGTTTATACCGTGTATTGAGAACAGGGATCACCAGGAAACCAAGAGATCCGTAAACTCCGTCTAAGAACAATTATCTTAGAGAGAAAGTAAGAGCTACAACATACAGGGTGATTCTAATGTATTGTCGAGGTTTCTGTGGCCTCTAATTTTCTAACCTTGCGTGCCACGAAAGGTGCCCAGGTTGAATTACAGACAATAAAACTTATTAAGTTACACTTTAATATTCCATAAGAAGTTTTATTTTATTTCATCAGATTTGAAAATTATAGGCCACGGAAACCCCGGCAATAATTTAGAGTCATCCTGTATAACGTCAAAACTACTGCTGTCTTCAGGGATATGGCGTCGAGTAGTCTAGTACAGCAGTACCAGGAACCTCAGCTCAGCTTGCATTCAGCTTTTTTTATTGCTTGGCTTACAGTGCGACCCTGAAACTGGAGACAGTACGTTCCTCCGATACATCGGTAAACTTGTACAGGACTATACGACGTCACGACCCAGAACATAACACTCTTCGTTCCTACTGCCGTGAGAATCTCGAATTTTACCTCTAATTTAGTTCTGTCCATGGTAGAAACTCTTCAGTAATCAGTTCAGTTTTGATAAGTCTGCTCTTGTTGGTTTTAAAATATGCAGCTTTCTTTTTTATTCTGGTACTATAATAGTACATTGCTAGTGACGGGGTGCACCGTCGCGCAGTTGGTGAGGCACTATGTTACCAGTCGGAAGGTCGTGAGTTCGAGACCTGATGACGTGGATTTTTTTCTTCAGTTCATCTAATCCTTCCAGCCGCACTCTGACCCTGAGGTCGACTCAGCCTCTAACAGAAATGAGTACCAGGAATCTTCCTGAGGTAAAGGGCGGCCGGCGCATAAGGCTGACAACCTCACCGTCATGTGTTAGCCGACTGTCTAGAAAATATAGGAGCCTCGACTTCTCACAACCCTGTGGGCCTTCACGGCATGTTACAGGGATAGCTTTACCTTTTTTAACAACCCCAAAATTGTTCTTCGCTCAGTGGTAATGATTTTGCCAGTATAATATTCTAGGATGTTATTATACTAACCGAAGTTAGAGTAGAGCCAGGATAGCTCACTCGACGGGCTACGAGCTGGACTAACCGGGTTCAATTTCCGGCAATGCAAGATTTTTCCCGTTTCCACAGCGTCCAGACTGACTCTTGGGTCCACCCAGCCTCCTATCCGGTGGGTACCAGGGGCTCTTTCCCGGGGATAAGCTCACTACTCACCTCCATCTAGTGCCGAGGTCAAGAAAGCTGGAGCTATAACTCCACTCTTTATGTTTTCATGGCATAGTGCTTAAATATTTAAGCACAGGAACAACTTTACCTTAATATTGTTAGGATGATGGAATCAATGAGGAAGAAATGGGCGGTGTATTTAGCATGCATGAGAAAGATCGGAATTTCGTAAAAGTTTTGGTAAAGAAACCCAAAGTGAAGAGTCCATTTGGAAGAACTAAGTTTAGATGCAAAAATTATGGATATTTAATAAATAGGCAAAGGGGGGTTGGATTGGATTGGCTCAGACCTGGGACCACCCACCAGACGACCTGTTCCTGTATGGGAGGACATGCGCATGGCGTCGGAAGCAGGCGAATGCTCTTGAAGAAGAATTGGGACTAGCGGGAGTGGAGCTGTTGTGAATACGGAAATGAACCAACTGTCAGCTTCTGAACAAGAACGTCATTAGTTATATGAAGCAGAAATCGTTGGCTGACCTCTCAGTGTTACGTTGTGAGTTTACTGCACTGTTGGCTGTTGCTTAAAGGTTATGAGGG